ACTAAGTGAATGCTCTGCCCCTTAGCTAAGAAGGCTGGTGACCGTCGGTGCACAACCTGAGGCCACTTCATATGTCGAACACACGTAAAACGCCAGCCCCAAATATCAAGGAGGTGACGCAAGGAAGCTTTCTGCAGGAATCGGTCGGGCAACCTTTCGTTAACTAAGCGAACGCTCTGCCCTTAAGCCAAGAAGGCCGATGCCTATCGGCGCACAACCTAAAGCCACTCAACAGACTGAAGACGGTCAGATCTCAATGGGTGATGGAAGCAAGTCGTCTGCCGGAATCGCACCGACGACCTTTCGCTTACAAAGCGAACGCTGTACCCCTAAGCTAAGAAGGCTGACGACTCCCGGGGGACAACCTGAGGCTATTTCACAGGCAGAAAACGCTGGCCGCCGCCCTGCACCGGCACACCACCTTCGCGTTTTCAGTTCGCTTTTTGTCGTTAGAGCTCGGCACACCACCTTTGTTTTTGTTTGCTGGGCAGGTCTTTCAGTTCCTGGTTTCGGACTTGTCGTCCACCAATAGTGATGCGCTTGGTAGTTTTTGGCAGGAGTGGGACTCGAACCACCGTATTCCAGGTCGTCGCAGATGTTATGGTCGTCGCTCACCCCTGTGGGCTACGGAGACAACCATTTCGGTTCATTCTCTATTTGGACTATCTGTGTGTCTGGGATCGGTAGCTGTCAGACCAAGCTCCCCCGTAGACCCGACTTTGGTGTCATTTTGTTAGACTACCAAGGCAGACTCCAGGTCACCGTAAGTCTAACACGAGCAATCCGGCTGGGGGTACCAACTTCGAGTTACTTGCTTCTGGTTCTGGATAGGTGGTGGTAGGTGTTTGTCCCGGTGAGGATTCGAACCCCGATTCTTGGCTACGAAGTACCAACTCCGAGATACTCGCTTCTAGGCTGGTGCTTGGGTGTCTGATGATTGGCGTTGTCCCAGCGAGGATTTGAACGCTTGGGTGGATGCTGAAAGACTGGACAGGTCGAAAAAGTGAAAGGAAAAAGAAGAGGAGGGTTTATTATCATCTACCGGTACCCCAAACCCAAGTGAGGACTTCAAGAAATTTTGAAGATTGGAATTTCGCCGACACAACGGCTAGAGACGCCGTCTTGACCTTC